CACAGATGTGCACATGTAACAGGCACACAGACACACACACACACACACACACAGACACACACACACAGGGGGGAAGGGAGGGAGAGGGAGAGAGAAATGATAATTCAGTGCATTTTTAATATTAATTACCACATGTTTCCATTGGCGTATTTCTTTAGAAATGCAAAAATAACCCAGATTAAACTGGCAATGATTAAAATAAAATAAATAAAACAGTCCCACACCTGCTCACCCGTTCTTAGGGCCACTGATCTGGCTAATTCCAACATTACCACATTGCCAAGACACCCGGAGATTGGATGGTTGGATGAATGGACGGAAGTACAGATGGGTGTTGGAAAGCAGCTGTATGACTTTGCACATTGGCGCAACTTTCAGGGAAAAGGCCCGGGAAGAGCTTCATCTGACACCAGAGGGAGCTCCAGGACCTTGGGAAAAAAGGAGACATTGAACCTCTATTATCCATCTTCATCTCAGAAAAATAATGAGCTAAGAAAGAAGAGCTTGATGCTTAGAAGGGTTGTCCAGCCTCCAGTGATGGAACCCTGCAAAGCTACAGAGATGTTGTCGAATGTCTTCAGGATGGATCCATCTTTGCCTCTGACTTGCTTTGACCATTTCTGGTCCTTAGCCAAATGCATGGGGCAGCAGAATAGAATAGAATTGATATTGGAATGAAGAATACTGTAGAATAGAATGTAGAATAGAATGTAGAATAGAATAGAATAGAATAGAATAGAATAGAATAGAATAGAATAGAATAGAATAGAATAGAATAGAATAGAATAGAATAGAATAGAATTCTTTATTGGCCAAGTGTGATTGGACACAGAAGGAATTTGTCTTTGGTGCAAATGCTCTCAGTGTACATTAAAGCTGTAAGTGGTCAATCATTATCTTAGTCATCATAAAAATACATTCGTCATAAATCATAAGATACACCACTTAGTGGTAGTCATAGGATACTAAATAAGCAATCAACACAAATCATACTAGGAAACTAAAACAATATACAGTAAACTGTAAGGATACTAGCAACAAAGTTATAGTCATAAGTAGAAAAGGAAATAGGTAATAGGAAGGATGAAAAGAATAATAGTAACACAGTCTTAGTAGTTTGACAAGTGTTGGGGGAGTTAGTTGTTTAGTAGAGGGATGGCATTCGGGAAAAACTGTACTTATGTCTAGTTGTTCTGGTGTGCAGTGGCCTATAGCATCGTTTTGAGGATAGAAGTTGAAACAATTTATGTCCAGGATGTGAAGGGTCCGTAGATATTTTCACAGCCCTATTTTTGACTCGTGCAGTATACAGGTCCTCGATTGAAGGCCTCAAACCTAATCTAACTTCAAACCTAAGCTAAATGCGTGGGACGATGGATGTTGAGCAGCAACTTATCTCCTGAATTTTTCAGCTCTTGGCTTCTCTAGTCCCTTTCCAACTTTGAAGGAACGTTCAGGTGATCGTCTGGGTGTAGACTAGGAGAGATATGCCATCTTTCAAGAACAGAACAGACTGCCATCTGTCAGAAATGGTGTAGGGTCTTCCAGCTTGGGGGCGGGGGGTTGGACTAGATGGCCTGCAAGGTCCCTTCCAGCTCTGTTAATCTGTAAATCTTGCATTTGGCCTCCATGAGAAAAAAGTATCTTTGGCCTGGCTTGACAGGTTGAGTGATTGGAGTTTGCTTAGCTGTGTTTGCAAGGCCCTCTTATGCAGAGTTAACTGGACCATGGTTAGTCCCAAACTCCTGGATTTGAAGGGTGCAGTCAACCCATTGTGCGTTGGGTTCAGCTGACATTTGTTAACTTTTTGTTTTTTATAAAAAAAAATTATTTGGGTTTTCACAAAACATAATACAAATAAAATATCTTTTTTTGAGAATAGCATGATCCCAGGTTGTCACTTTTCCATACAGACACAAACTCAATTTCATATTCATCTTTGTATTCTATTCCATATCTTATTACTATTTTAGCATTTTCTCAGTGTTTTTTCCCTTCCCTTAGTTTTCTCAACCTTTTTTTTAATTATCTCATTCCTTTCTAAGTTCAATTACATCTCTTTTTCTAAGTTTCAATATCTTTCTAATCATTATATCTATACTTTTGTCTGCCCTGTTTCAACAACAAAAAAGAGGAAAACCTTCTACGCTCCAATTCCACCCACGCTTTTTACAATTTTGTAAACAACAAATTAAAAGACTCAAGGTCCATCCCACCCCTGATAGGACCTAATGGTAAAGACTGCAACGACGACACCATTAAAGCCAACATCTTTAACACATTCTTCGGCTCAGTATTTGTAAACAGCAATGGATCATGCCGAGTATTTCCTAGTCGAACCACAGTCAACTACAATGAACTAATACATATCGATTTTACAGAAGACAATGTCGAAAAAGCACTACGCAATCTAAAACCATCTCTATCTATTGGACCGGATGGAATATGTGCCTACTTCTTAAAAAAGCTATCTACTGCCATAGCCGAACCTCTAAGCATAATCTTTGAAAAATCTTTCAGGACCAGCTCCTTGCCTAACCTCTGGTCACAAGCCACAGTCATCCCCATCTTCAAAAAGGGAGACCCCAGCCTAGTTGAAAATTACAAACCAATCTCTTTATGCTGCGTCACCTGTAAAGTCATGGAATCAATTATTAACCAATCCATCATCCTCCACTTAGAGACAAACAACCTACTCTCTAATAAACAATTTGGTTTCAGAAAAAAACTATCCTGTAATCTGCAACTCTTTCACTGCAAAAACATATGGACTACACAATTCAATCAGGGAAAAGCAATAGAGGCACAGAGTGGTCAATGTCTGGAATACTCTACCTGACTCTGTGGTTTCTTCCCCAAACCCCAAAAACTTTAACCTTAGACTGTCTACTATTGACTTCACCCCTTTCCTAAGAGGTCTGTAGGGGGCGTGCATAAGCACACCAACATGCCTACTGTCCCTGTCCTATTGTTTCTTTTATTTTTCTTATATGTACCCATTTCATGTATTCATAACTATGTATATACTTATACCTATTATCTTGTGATTGACAAATCAAATCAAATCAAATAAAAATCAATAAAAAATAAAATAAATGTCACATTTTTTTTCTCATTAAACAAGTTTTCCCCTGTAGTTACTGATTGGAGTATGACACCTTTATATCTTTTAATTTTTGTCCATTCAGATCTTATTTAAGCTTCAATTTATGCCTTTACAGTTATAACATGAGATTGGTTAACTTTTGATCACCTCGGTGGCGAGCAAGATTGAAGAGGACACAATTTTAGTGGGTGTTTGGATGGGGAACACCTGAGGATTCTAGCCATGTAAACTAAACTGGGTACAGACACAAACCAGGGGGGCGGGGGGGGGGGGAGGAAGGCAAAGACGAAACAACTGGGAGGGCCAACAATGACGCGAAGAAGCAACAGCCTCAGATCAAGTTTCATTCCAAGAATGTCTCTCTTAAATTCATGGTTTTTCTGTGTTGTGTGAATAAGGCAACGTCTGATACTTTCCCTCTTGTTTGGCAAGCATGTGGGGCAAAGCAGGATACGACAGGTGGGGGTGATGTGGGTGGGTGGGTGGGAGGAGTTGGACTAGATAGAACAGTGGTCACCAACCAGTAGGCCGGGGACCACTGGTGGTCCGTGAGAAAACTTTGGTGCTCCGCGGAGAAATGTTACCCCCAAAGCAATTAATCCAGGCTGCGTGGGAACACAAGGCTGCGCTGCCCACAGGGCCCGTGGGAACACAAGCCTTGTGTCACTTGCATTGCGAACAACACAAAGTAGGGAGGGGAGGGGGGAAAGGGCAGAGGGGGTGAACTTGCCCCACTCACCCCACACGTGTGACCCCACACATGTGGGCTGCTTCTTTCCGCTTCTTTCTTCTTGTGCTTTTGGCTGCACGCAAGAAAAGCAGCAAAAGTCTTTCTTTCTCTCCCCCAAACTCCGCCAGAAACAAGTCTTTGGGACCCTGCAAGGCCTCCTGCTCCAAGAGGCTGCGCCGGCAAAGACTCATTTCTGGCGGACTTTGGGGGAGAGAAAGACTTCTGCAGCTTCTGCTGCTTTCCTTACATGAAGCCCAAAGTCTCTCTCTCTCTCTCTCTCTTCCCCCGAGAACGAGAACGGAGCTGGAGACGGTATCCTGTGATCCCAAATAAAGAACGATCAATATCCTGTGATCCCAAATAAAGAACGATCAATATCCTGTGATCCCAAATAAAGAACAGTCGATCGGTAGGAAAACAGGGTGGGGAATTTTCCTGCAGACTTTTTTTGGGATTTTCCCAGGGTCTCTGGTCCACGGGATTTAAAATTATGAGTTTGGTGGTCCCTGAGGTCCAAAAGGTTGGCAACCCCTGATAGAAGACCCACAAGGTCCCTTCCAACTCTGTTAATCTGTTAATCCAAGGTGCTGGATTATTTTCTCGCAGAGGTTTCAATACCCAACTTGGTAACATCAAGAAACCTCTGCAGGAAAATCACGAAGCTCAGAGAACCTCCGAAGATCACACAGTTCAAGCATGAGCTATAAATATTCTCTTCCCCTGGCACAAAAATCCTCCAAAAGTTGACTGTTTAAGTCTCGGGGCAATCCAACGCAGGCAGCGGGAATCAAAGGATCCTCAAAGGCGATCCCCAGGTCCTTGCATAACACGCGTCTCTTGAGTTCTGCCTCTTTTGAAATATTGCCGGGGTGTGTGTGTGAGAAATGCGTGCAGAGGAGAGCCAAAGAAGGGGGGGAAAGCAGGGCGGAAATGGAGTAGCGGAGAGGAGCCCGCTGGCTTGGACGCGCTTTGCCTTCGATCCATTCAGAAATTCCCGGTGGCCAAACGGGGGAGGCGGGGAACAAAGGACGAGGGAGCTCCCCCGAGGGTGGTGGTGGGGAGGTGGAGGGCGCATGTGGATTGGTCGGCTCGGGACCTGAGCATCCGGGCGGGGCGAGGGAAGAGAGGGAGGGGAAGAGGCGAGGGCGCCGGGCGTCAGCAGCTGCCGGCACCACCTTGGCGGAGGCTGAGCCAGGAGGAGGAGGAGGAAGAGGAGGAAGACCGGGGAAGGCAGCTCCCTTCGCCATCTACCCTGGAAGCTTCCGCTGCATCAGTAGCTGCGCAATCCTCTGGCCTGGCTGGGCACGCATCCTCTTCCACCCAACCCACCCGCCCGCGCGGTTTTGCAAGAAAGCCAGCCGGGCCAACGCCGTCCCTTGCAGCGCGCAAGCCAGGCTGCGAGCGAGCGGGGGGGCCGTTGCTTTGGCCCGCTGCTTGGGGGACGGGGCGTGATGGTCCGGTGAGCGCCGGCCGGGCAGCCGTCCCCTGCCACCGCCCCACCGCCCGCTCGCCATGGCTGCCAAGGAGGACTTGTACAGCCAAGTGGCGCCGTGGAGGAGCCGGCAGAGCCGGGCGGGCACCATCAAACGCGGCTGTTCGCTGGAGATCTTGCTCTCCATGGGTTTCCCCAAGGCTCGAGCGTGAGTTAGGCCCGGGAAGGCGGGGGGGGGGGGGGGGGGGGGGGAGGGGGGGGTGAGGAATGGTATAGGGTTTCCTGCCTAGGCAGAGGGGTTGGACTAGAAGATCTCTAAGGTCCCTTCCAGCTCTATTCTGATTGATATTGAATGATATTGAATCTGCTTTTGGGGGGTGGGGGGGGGCTGGAGCGGAGGGGGGCGCAGGGTTGATCCTCCCGGAGCTGGACTGGCGCGCTTCGCCCGCGTGCCAAAGGCAAAGCGCGCATCCCGGCTCTTGCTTCTCTTTCTCCAGCCGGCCGGGCGATGCTTCTCTCCCCCCTGCCTTGTCTGTCGGACAGCGGGGCAGGGGAAGCTGCTCTCCAAAGTGGGGCTCTGGAGCTCTGGAGAGGAGCGGGGGCTGAGCATCCTTTGGGCCATCCGGGGCGCTTTTCCAGGGGGAGCCGCGCTGGCTGGGCTGAGGCTGGATTTGCGCTCTGTTGCACCGCAGCGCAGAGGCCAAGCGGCGCCTCACCCAGCCCCGGGCAGCGGCCAAGCCAAGCTGCTTTCGGGGTGGTCGGAGCCAGGCGCAGCGGAGAGCAAGGCGGCGAGAGGAGGGCCGGCGCGCTCTCAGCATCACAGCGCCTCGCCGATTTCTCCACCTGGCTTTTCATTTCGGTTCGTTGTCTCCTCCTCCCTCCACCGCTGGCCCGTAATAAGCAGGACCGAGTCCGCAGCTGGAATCGAAGCTGAGTTGCTTCCACCCCCTCTCTCCCTCCCCTTCCCCCCCCCCCCGGCTGGGGGGGATGGGGGTTGTGATCCAGGACGCCAGCGCATCCTTGGCTCTTGGACAAGCCAAGCGCTTGTCTGGCAGCCTTTGCAAGGATCGATCGCCACCACTTTTGGGGGGAATTGGCAGCGCCTCCTCTGCGAGGAGAGGAAGGCCCAAGCGTTTTCTCCGGGGCGGGGAGTCGGTTCCTCGCTTCCCCTTGGCCGGGCATCGCTTCCTACGCCAGCTTTTCCAGCCGCTGCTCTCCAGCTGTGTTGGAACTCGACTTCCCAACCTGCCAAAGCAGCCAGGGTGGTTGGTGAGGCTTGCGGAGGGATGCTGGGAAACGTAGTCCTGGCACATCTGAAGGCCAGCGGAACTGGAAATTGGAAAGGTGGCTTCCAGCATTTCAGGCGTTTGCTGGCCTTGATGGGGATTTTTGCTTGGCAAGCCTGTGTTTTTCCCTGCAGGCCGTTTTTCCCTCTCCTTCTCTCTAGCAGGTAGGTCAGCCCAGGAATGGTATTAGCCAGTCAATTGTCAGGGGAAAAGTCTGGATTGTAAGGGGAAAAACCGGTTATGCCGTTTTAAAATACCTGTCAGAAGAGCTTAAATGTTAACCTTTGGCATCATTAACTTTTTTATCCAGCAAACACCATCCATTAACCTACCTGGGCCAGGTGCCATTCAAGGCACGGGAGCATACTTTCTTGGTTGTCTTGGTTGACCAACGCAGGGGATAGCGCTGAAAGGGATAGCATCCAAAACAAGGCCATCCCCTCCATTTCAGTTCACGTTGGATGTAGTGACCTAGGAAGAGTTTCCCTTAGGATTTTGTTTAAAACACCTTTCGTGAAGGGTATGAACAATGATCTGAAATAGCACAAAACAAGATGAAAAAGAAAGCGGAAAGAAACAAAATCCAAAGCAGAGAAAGAAAGAAAGCAGAGAGAGAAAAGAAATCCAGATTGCAAAAAAAAAAAAAGAGAGAGAGAGAGAGAGAGAGAGAAATAGAAAAAGTAAAACTAGAAATAAGAAAAAAAAATAAAGAAATGATTCCCAGCCTTTGCAACAAGTTCAAGCAGATTTTATTTATGTTTTGTATTTCCTAACCACTTCTCTCCCTCTGAGATTAATATTTCCTCCCCTTGTAAAATCATGGACATAATCCACTTCTTCCCATGAAGAGATTAATTGAGTTTTGTGTACCTTGTCTGCAAACCTCATTAGTGGTTCTGGGCCCACAGCAAGAGGTTTAAAGATTCCAAGTGTGTTCCTGCAATCAGCAGAGAGTCATCTGCATTGCCTGCCTGTAGCTAGGACTGAATTCACAATGTACTGTTAGAAGGACGGTTATTTTCCAGCTAATTCAGGGGTCAAGGAAGACATTTCTGTTGGCCGCCATGCTAATCTGTGAGGATTGTTGGACAAGGGAAGTGATGGCTAGATCCCACCAACTCAAAGAAGCAGAATAACAGAGTTGGAAGGGACCTTGGAGGTCTTCTAGTCCAACCCCTTGCTCAGGCTGGAGACCCCACCTATACCATTTCAGATAAATGGCTGTCCAATCTTTTCTTTAAAACCTCCATTGTTGGCAAGTTGTTCCACTGGTTAATTGTTCTAAGTGTCAGGAAATCTCTCCTTAGTTCTCCTTAGTTCTAAGTTGCTTCTCTCCTTGATGAGTTTCCATCCGTTGCTTCTTGTCCTGCCTTCAGGTGCTTTGGGAGAATAACTTGACCCCCTCTTCTTTGTGGCAGCCCCTGAGATATTGGCACACTGCTATCATATCACCCCCTACTTCTTCTCTTTAATAGAATTGGAAGGGACCTTGGAGGTCTTCTAGTCAAACCTCCTGCCTAGACAGGAAACCCTACACCACTTCAGACAAATGGTTATCCAATCTCTTCTTAAAAACTTCCAGTGTTGGAGCATTCACAACTTCTGAAGGCAAGTTGTTACACTGATTAATTGTTCCAACTGTCAAGAAATTTATCCTTAGTTCTAGGTTGCTTCTCTCCTTGATTAGTTTCCATTCGTTGCTTCTTCCCTTCCCTTCTGGTGCTTTGGAGAATAGCTTGACTTCCTCTTCTTTGGGGCAGCCCCCTAAATATTGGAACATCGCTATCATATCACTCCTACTCCTCCTCCTTAACAGAATAACAGAATTGGAAGGGACTTCGGAGGTCTTCTAGTCCAACCCTCCAGTCTAGGCAGGAAACTCTCATCTGTCATTTCAAGTGGTTGTCCAATCTCTTCTTAAAAGCCTCCACTGTTGGAAAATCCACAACTTCTGGAGGTGAGTCGTTCCACTGATTAATGGAACTGAGCAAGCTTTCCAGCGGCCTAGATTGCTTCTTCAGGCAACGAAGCGAAAAAGGCAGATGGAGTGGCGAAAGAAAAAGGAAGCTGCAGATGTGTGTTGGGTCACGAAGTCTGCCGAGTCATCATCTCAAAATCAAGAGCTCTAATGGAATCATAAAAAGGAAAAAAGAAGAAAGAAAGAAGAAAGAAAGAAAGGAAGAAAGAAAGAAAGAAATATTGGTGTTTTTTGAGTTAATAGATTAACAGAGTTGGAAGGGATGTTGTAGGTCATCTAGTCCAACCCCCTCCCCTACCAGGAGACCCTATACCATTTCTGACAGATGGCAGTCCAGTCTCTTGTAAGCTACCGGTGATGAAGCTCCCACAACTTCTGAAGACAAAGCTGTTCTTTTGGTTGATTGCTCTCCCCGTCAGAAAATTTCTCCTTATTTCCAGGATGAATCTCTCCTTCTTCAGTTTCCATCCATTGTTCCTTATTTGGCCTTCAGGTGCTTTAGAAAATAGCTTGACCCCCTCCTCCTCTCTGTGGCAGCCCCTCAGATATTGCTAGACCGCTATCATGTCTCCCCTGGTCCTTCTCTTCCCTAGACTAGCCAGGCCCAGTTCCTGCAACCGTTCATTGTATGTTTTAGCCTCCGGTCCCCTCATCATCCTGGTTGCTCTTCTCTGCACTTTTCTTAGAGTCTCAACATCTTTTTTTTTCCAAATGATTTTTATTGTTTTTCCACCAGTACAAATCGGATTTACATTTTCAACAGCATTTTCCATTGACATACAATATTATCTTATATTTTCTATCATATTTATATACATCACCAATTATTATTGTCCTTACTTATGCTTGTTATTAATATCTATCTTTATCTATTTTACATATCTACATATCTATGCATCATTCTCTTAAGGATTCTTCTCTGTAATCTTCGCTTCTCATTCCTTATCTTTATTTTCTAACCACTCGTACCATCTATGCCAAATTGAGTAATAATCGGATTCTTCTTTTTCCTTCATTTTTAGTGTAAGCATATCCATTTCTGCGCAGTCTGTTATTTTTTTGTAAGACTAATTCTTCTGTTGGAACATTAGGCCCTCCACATTTGCGCATAAGCTATTCTGGCTGCTGTTAGAATATGTAAGATTGTGTATTTTATCTTTTTCGGGTATTGGTCTTTAATTATTCCCAATAAATAGAGTTCTGGTTTGAGTTCAATTTAATGTCCCTTGATTCCTTGTATCCAGTCTTTGATTTTGGTCCAATAGATCCTGGCCTTGAGGCATAGCCACCACATGTGGTAAAAGGTACCGTCAACTTGTTGGCATTTCCAACATTTTGGGCTGGTATTTGGGTATATCTTGCTAATCAACATCTTTTTTATAGTGTGGTGACCAAAATTAGATGCAGTATTCTAGGTGTGGTCTTACTAAGGCTTTATGGAGCAGTATTAGTTCCTCAATAGTATATTAGTACCTACTTGACTGTCCAAGGTAGCCTTCCTACTATAATACAGATTTTGGATGATGACGATTGGAAATTTGATTTGGATGCACTGAAGTACTCTTCGCTTTTCAGTTTCCAATGAAATTAAACTGGGAAACAGTTGGGGAAAACATGAATTGTAATTTGCTTTTTTATCTTCTGTGGCTGGTCTGCCGGGATCTAGTTACAGATAGGCCTCAACTTACAAGAGTTCATTTAGCAACTGTTCGAAGTTACAACAGCACTGAAAAAAGGGACTTTAAATGACCCCTTTTCACCCTTACCACCATTGTAGCATCCCTAAAGACACATAGTCAAAATTCAGACGCTTGGCAGTTGACTCATTTTTATGACGGTTGCAGCGTCCCAGAGTCACAAGCAAAAGTACATGGGAAAGCTAGATTCACTTAACAATTGCAGTGATTCACTTAACAAACTCAACGAGAAAGGTCATAAAACAGG